GCACCCCCCCCCGCCCGCCGCCCGTCCCATTCCCAGCCCGGGGCCTGGAGGCAAGTCCTTCGACTACCCGGTTCTCTGAACCTCCCGGGGAAGCAGCCCTCCGCCGCGGGGCAGGGCATTCTCGAAGGGAGAGCTTGAACTTGGCCCTACACGGTCCTCCGAGATGAGCTCGGGGCTCCCCAGACTGAAGCCACACTGCGCGACGAGCTGACCTCTACTCACCGGTCTCGGTAGGAACCGCCGCCCTTTCCGACCGTCTTTGGGCTTCTCGGTGTCGGCGGACTGGGGAAGGGATGATCCTGGCCACTGCCCCTGCAATGTTGCTGGGACGTCGTGGGTGCCCCCTGACACAAAGGAACAGCCTAGCGCTCCCCGTCAGCGGACCGGACTGGGAGCTGCGGGGTGGGATCGGAGCTGGAAGTGCGCACCCTCTGGGGACGCCGCAGGCTCGGGGGAGGTCGGTGCGTCGCGGCCGCGCTCGGGTGGTGCGCGGGTGGAGGGGTCTTTAGGGCTTCTAGGTAGGAGCTTCCAAGTCCGGGGAGGGCCTCGAGCTCTCGTCCCTCCCTTATCTTGCCCCTTGCCCCCATTGCCAGGAGACTTCTGTCGGCCCCAGGACTGCGGGAGGGGCCGCGGTGTCCCCGCCCTCGGAGGAGCCGGAGCCGCAGGATGCGCGGGGACGCGCCGCCGCCCTCCGCACCCAGTTCCGCTGGCGCTTCCCCGGCTGCTCCCGGGCGCTGATCTCCGGGCTTCTCCGCCCTCCGAGCCGCCCGCCCGCGCGGCGCTGGACCTCGCCGAGAGCTGCTCCTGTTGCCCTCGCCACGGCGCGGACAATAAACTAATGCCTCGTGCTTGAGGGGAGGGGGCGGCTCAGCGCTCGGGTCGCAGCTTTCTCGCCGGGCTGGAGACCGCCGCTGCCGACATGGGCTGTTTCTGCGCTGTTCCGGAAGAATTTTACTGCGAAGTTTTGCTCCTGGATGAATCCAAGTTAACCCTCACCACCCAGCAGCAGGGCATCAAGGTAGGCACAGGAAGGGGGCGTGTTCGGGGGTTTGGCAGCCGGGCGGGCTTGGGGGTCCCCGGCTTTGTGAGGGTTGGCCCAGGTCGCGGCGGCGACTGCCTGTCCGCGCGGTGGGCAGGAGCCGCAGCTGCCCCCCGCGCGCAGGTGGAGAGAGGACGTGCCTGTGTGGGTTAAGTTGAAGTCCCTTCCTAAAGGAGAGTAAGTTTGATGTCTCAGAGGATAGCTCATGCACCAACTCTCAGCTGCAATCCACGGTCCTGCAACTGAGGCCAGATATCTTCGCAACACAGGTTTCCTCCCAGAGCATCTAGGGCCTCCGCTGCAACTCCCAAGGAGTCGCAGAATTGAATGTATGGGCTGCACACAGTGTCGAAGGCACGCTCTCCCTAGGCCTTTCCTTGATAGTATCTTTGGGGAAGTAAAAGAGTTCACGCGTTGAAACACATTTCTTGGGCGGTTGTGATTGTGTGGCCTGGCCGTGTAGTTCGGTATTGCTGCGTTTGGACAGAAAATGATTTCCCTTTCCGCAAGCGAACCGGCTCCCCACATTGAAGTAAACGTTTCTCAGAGCGACTCGGGAATAACTGCTTCTGTGTGTAGGACGTTGAAATGCAGTTACTGCTGTTAACCTAGAGAACCCAAACAGAAAGGCTGGGAGATTGCAGACACCCACTTCCTTAATTTTGCTGGGTTCTTATCTCATAGAGTTGACTACCTGACCGAGGCGTCTGCGTGCCCTCGTTTTGCCCTAGCAACGATGTTACTACCAAGAGGTGGTCGGAATGGGGAAGCGGCTTGTTTTGTTTTCTTTTCTCCTTCACTTTTAGGTCGCAGGCATTTTAGATAACTCAGCTGCCAGTCTGGTGACGGGAAGCGGCTCCCTCCTACTCCTCAGTAGAGCTGGGCGTCTGAGAAATCAGATTCAGGCTGGCTAAGTGTCCTTTCCTAGTCTTGTCATCTCAGCAGTTAATCCTCACGGCGTTGGCCCTGGGCATTTCCTTATGTGAATGGGTTTTTACATAGCTTTATGTGCTTTACAGTCACTGCTCCTGGCCAGAAGCGTCAGCTTTGATATGACCATTCTTGGGGTACAGAATTCTCAGTTCCCAGGTGTCATTCTTTTACAAGAAAAAGGGGCAAAAATGACCAGTTAAAGCCACAAGATAAAGTTAACCCTTTCCTTTAGAAAATTGTTTTGAATATTGTGTCCCCAGTAATTATAATAAGCAAAAGTCAGTCATATTCTCATTTGCTATATCCCTTGAAGGTCAATAAAATACTTTGAGGGAGGGGGAGGTGTTCATTTTATATTTTCAACTTTTCTTTATGTTCCAGAACACCTCCTCTCCCCAAGTGAAATCAGTAAAAGAACTTACCTTATAAGATTATGTGACATTCTTTGGTGTACTGCGCAAATAAAAAAGGCAGAAATGATAAACACATCTTAAATATTTGATAATACATAGATTCTCTTTGGCTTGGGGATAGAAACGATTAGAAAAAAAATAACTAATGATCTGATGCTGAAACAACAAAGAAATCTTTCTGAAGTGCAAAGTCTAAAGTCATCTGGAGTGTGAGCTTCCTGTTTAATCATGAAAGCATACTCCTGTCAGCTGTGGAGCATGTACATTATTCTGTCAAGAGAGCAGTCAAGATTTGGGATCAAATGGAATAATTTTGTCAAAAAAAACATGAATCAAAAATCCTGGTCCATAATTACTTTTTTTTTAATATATTTTTTTTTATTGATTTTTTACAGAGAGGAGGGGAGAGAGATAGAGAGTTAGAAACATCGATGAGAGAGAAACATCGATCAGCTGCCTCCTGCACATCCCCCACTGGGGAAGTGCCTGCAACCCAGGTACATGCTCTTGACCGGAATCGAACCTGGGACCCTTCAGTCCGCAGGCCGACACTCTATCCACTGAGCCAAACCGGTTTCGGCAATAATTACTTTTTATAACCTGATGGTGTTTACCTTGCTTTACAAATAGGTTGAAGATTGGTGAGTGATTCAAATGCAATAGCAACTTTATAATGCTGTTATGTTGGCTAGATGCCATTTAAATAAACAATAATTTAAACAGGTTTTTTGTTGAAAGTAATCATTTTGCAACAGGCTTGGCCTCTTTTAGTGTCACAAAAGCATGCCACAATTATTTTGATGGCCATTGTGTAACACAGATGTCTGCTGAAGTTAACCACGTTATCTGTAACTACCATGCTACTATAAAATGCATGTGTTAAGCACTTATCTACTTGTGGTAGGTACTAAATTAAACACATAAGCATATTTGTGTTTAATATATGAATAATGACCATTCTTGGTGTACAGAATTCTCAATTCCCAGGTATCATTCTTTTACAAGAAAAAGGGGCAAAAATGACCAGCTTCCTGAATGTAGAAGGTATTCAAATATTGAATGAATATATGTATAGTTTGTATATTATTATTCTGTATATACCTGTCATTTTTAAACTCTTACTTTAGTTTGTAAATGAAATAGTCAACAATTACTTCAAAGTTAATAGTATAATAGTTGCTATTATAGTGGCCTCCTCCTGCTATAGTACAATTGATAATTTTGATTATCCCTAATTAAAGTCAAAGTTAAGTATATGTCAATTAGCCTATTCCCCCCTAAAATTAATAGAAAAATATTTTTGTTTTTTAAAAGTATCCTATATAATAAAAGCCTAATATGCTAAGTGTCCGATCGTTTGTTCAACCGGTCGCTATGATGCACACTGACCACCAGGGGGCAGATGCTCTGACTTGTAGGTTAGCTTGTTGCTGGGGTCCAGCCAATTGGGACTAGGTGAGACGGGCCCGACATGCCCTGGAGCCCTCCCACAGTCCCTCCCTGGCCCTGATCATGCACTGGTGGAGTCCCTTGGCCTGGCCTGCATCGTCTTGCAATCCGGGACCCCTTGGGGGATGTCGGAGAGCCAGTTTCAGCTGATCCCCACAGGCCAGTGCACCAGGCCTCTAGTTTCCTAATAATTATTTTGAGATAACCCTCTGTCCATTCTATCTCAAATGAAATGAAGACAGCTAATTTTGCATTAAAAATATATTCACATATTTCATCCCTTAATGGAAGTTTTACTGATTCCTGATAGTTACTTAAGAATTTGTTTGTATTACTCTTATAATAATTCCTTGTGAGTTAAAAAGGATTAATTTAAGTAGAAGTGTGAGAGAAGCTTTATAAAACTTGTTTTTCCTTGTGTACCATTTTGAAAAACACTCTTTGGATTTAAGTGCCAAATTACAAAGTTGGTTATGAAGTGATTTTCTGCAATTTAGATCAAAGATCTCATCGACTTTAGGAAAAAAATCCATGTTTGTTCCCATGGAAAGCAATTCATTTTGAAGACAGTAGTTACACATCTTATATTTTAAGAATTTAAATGGGAAGTGTTTTCTTTTTTTTAATTAAAAAATAATCAGCCCTTGCCCTAGGCAATTTGGGTCAGTGGATAGAGGGTCCCAGGTTCGATTCCGGTCTTTCTGCCATTCTCTCTATTTGCATGCTCCTCCCTGGCATGAGCTGGTTGGGGCTCATGCAGGAGGCAACCAATAGATGTTTCTCTCTGTCTTTCCCTCTCTTCTACTCTCCCTAAAAATTAATGGAAAATTATCCTTGGGTGAGGACTAACAAAAAACAAAACAAAACAAAACAAAACAAAAAATAATTAGCCCATTCTGCGTGGCTCAGTGGTTGAGTGTTGACCGAATAACCTGGAAGTCATGGTTTGATTTCTTTCAGGGACATGCCCAGGTTGTGGGCTCGATCCCCAGTAGGGGGCATGTAGGAGGCAGCCAATCAATGATTCTCTCTCATCCCTGATGTTTCTATCTCTCTCTCCCTTCCTCTCTTCCAATAAAAAAAAAAATATTTTTAAACAAATCAAATTTATAGTTATAAAAACAGTTATGGGGATGTAAAGTACAGCATAGGGAATACAGTCAATAATGCTGTAATAATTGTATATGGTGTCAGATGGGTACTAGACTTATTGGGGTGATTACTTCGTACGTTATATAAATGTCTAATCACTATGTTGTATACCTGAGGTTAATATATTGTGTGTTAACTGTAATTGAAAAATTTAAAAATCAGAAAAACAAAACATCTTTATATTCATACTAATGTTATGTAAAACTTGCCTTCTTAACTTGCTTTAGAGGTAATCTCACCTTGAAAACAGGAAGTCTTTTTCATGCAATTTGTAGTTTGAGTCCTATCCAAGATTTAAAAACCTAGGTTTATATAAACTGGAAGCTGTTGGTTGTGTTGAGCCCCACAATAGCTTCTAGCTGTTTGGTCTCTGCTGCTAATCTCTGTTGTTTATTCAAGTTAAGAATTGCTGCTGTGGTTGGTCTCTTGGTTTGAGTAATGTTTGTTCAGGGAAACTTTTGTTATGTCCTTCGTAGTTCTTTGTCCTGGTGGAGGTAGAGATCTTTCTTTCTGTTCTCTTTAGAAGCAAAACTTTACATGGCTCAGACTACCTTTATAGGTTGTCATTTGATTAGTAAAGATTTTCAGGGGGGAAAATCACCAGCTTTGGTTATAAATTTAGTTTTGAAAATTGCTGG